CTGCGGCAGACATAGCAGGCGTACCACGATCTCTGTCTGGATGGCATAGGCGACGCCGACGTCGCGTTGCTCTCCTTGTGGGCGGCCGCCCCAGAAGAATGTGCACCCGGTACCCACCTCCCTCCTTCGGTCTTGATCGGAGAAGCGGGTTTTGCCCAGTACGGTGGTGTACACCTTGTAGCGTGCCCGTTCCCGAGCAATGACCGCTGTCTTCCATTCTGGTTGCGCTTACATCACGTCAGGGTCATCAATTTGTGGCGGTCTAAGCAGTGTTTGTACTCAGATCGCTACAATCATCAGGCTTAATCCAAGTTTGTAGGAAAAAACAAAAGGCACCTGTAGGAAGAACTTATTGGGCAGACAGCAATGGCCACTGTTGAATGTCTTCAGTCATGCCCGAGAGAGTGTGTGTATTTGTCCGGTGGCAGCTGCTCTAATAGGACAATGGACCAAGTTCCTGCGTTGGTCACCTGATGTGTGTTGCAGTACCCGACGGGTGTCGTGTTAAGTGATACACGCTCTATCGTCTGACGCGCGAAAGTAGCCCTCGTGTGAACGCAGCTATAACTAAACCCGTGTCAAATCTGATGGGTGGTCGTGCTTTAGCGGAATGCGAAGGTACGGCCAATTAAATCGAGAGCAAGTAATTCCGACTGTATCAGGTGCCTTATAGGTAGGATTCTGACCCCATGACGCTGCACAACCTAGGTAAATTCTTGGTTGGTTCTCATCACATCTAGCTTTCTTAGTTTTTTCCTAGCTTCCACCAGGTATGTTATAGACAGGCCTTATACCATATGTCACTATCCGTTGTTTTCATTTCAGGGACTACGTAAAAGACCTCATGGTACAGTTGCACAAGGAAAATGTTCCCATACTGATATTTTCTGCTGGCATTGGGAACGTTATAGAACTTCTTCTGGAACGTTTTCACTTGTGCTTCGACAACGTTCGAGTAGTCTCCAACTTCATGGACTTTAACGACGAGGTACGTCCCCGTTGTACTTAATTGATATCTGCCATTCTCCATGCCAACCTTTGCTCTTCTAAATTCACTTTTATCCTTAGTTCCGGAAATCTAATATACCAAATTGTCAGTTAAGACACGCTTCGGACAGACGTGGCTTAAGGAGCGCAAGCACCTTCACCGTCCTTTATTTACATTTACAGTGGCTTGTGAACGTAGTTTGGGTTTTTTCAATTTCACACGGAAACCGGACTTTGTTTATTCTTTGAGCAATCCGGTCGCCCCTTTTATATTTGGTAACTAAAGAACGGTCGCCTAGTCAATTTTTATAGGAATTATGAATTCATTGACAGTGGAATTTCTTGTGGACGTGAGCTGTTGTAAGACATTGGACGACCACTGTACGACTAAGGGTTCTGCATTAGCTCCTGGAAGTTTGCTGGTACGTAGTGTGGGCACTATGAACAGGTCGTTATACAATTGGATTGCTTAACTGGCGAAAGTGCTGCTCCGAAGTTTCTTCCCGTCTCAAATCACCGTTGACCAAAAAACAAAATTTTGATCACATAGTAGCAGCCTCGGTTATAATTTGTTTTGTAGAAGACCTTGGGTAGGATTTGCTTCATATGCGACCTTATAATTCCTTCCGCGCGGTGATTTATGGACAGTTTTATCATCAATCACCAGTATGAGTCTTCATTTCTATCCAATGTAACTACCTAGAAGTAAGAAAGGAATTTCAGAAGAATATTTTTACAACAAAAGGCATTATTTGATATATTATTTTAGGACCTGTTGATTGGATTCCAAGATCCTGTAATACACACTTTCAACAAAACAGTTTTAAGTATTTCTGACAGTGACTACATCAAAAAGGTTTTGTCCAAACGCTCCTCAGTTATTCTACTGGGCGATTCCTCGGCCGATCCATCCATTACGGACGGTATTCTCGGAGAAGATGTTGATTCCCATGTAAATATTCTGAAAA